GCTTCCCATCTCAAGCACGGTAACCCTCCTCCATGCTGAACGATGCCTCCCTCTCCTTGCAACACCACGGCTAGCCCTAGCAGTGATTTAAGAACCCTTGAAAGTAAAAAGGTTAGATACGACTTCCAAACATCCTTCTTGTGGTATTAACACGAGGTTAGTACTCGCTTGAACATCTCTCCCTCATTACAGACAGAATACAGCGGCAAATTGAGGTTTTGAACTACGCGACTGAGTCACAGTCAATCATCGCAGAACTGCTGGAAAAGCTCTTAAAAAAGACCGATGACCTTCTAGCCTCCAATCAGGCCCTCGAGAGGTCTATTGAGGCATTGATGCAGCGGCAATCATAAGCTGGGGTACATCATGAAAGGACACTACACTCGCTTGCCTTTTTGTAACTAAAACTAGTATTATGGAGATGTGAATTTGGCGGCTTTGCGACTTTGTGCGATTTGATATTGTTACTCTTGGTATTCTCTCTCTATTTAATTCACAACGTCCCGCGTCCTAAGAGAACACAAATATCAAAAGATCATGGCAGCATATTGTGATCACATTGCATGTGTACGGCACATAGAGAGCGAGCAGACGGGTGAGATTATCCTTGAGGACACTGGCCGTTTCTGGCGTGCTATTCAGGAGCTACCCTGCCCAGCAGCTCAAACACCCCAGCTTGTGTTATTTATAGGAACGCATGCCAAGGATACTGCCCTAAAGCATATCTTTCCCCAGAACAATATCAGCCGGCGAGGAGTAAGAGGAAATATCAACCTCCGTCTTGACAATGATTCCAGCAGCCACGACACACCATTAATGTTTGTCGATAGTAGTCCTTTTCTGAAAAGTTCAAATGAACGGAGCCATGTTCTGTGCCATGAGACTATCTCATACCCCGCGCGCTGGAAATCAGGTCAAAATAGGGTTATTGACATCATCTACACGAAACTTTTATTTCCCTTCAGTGACGTGGTTTGCGTCTTTTCAGATGATTTTCCTAGTCTTGAGGCACTTGTCCAACAACTTATGGCATGGGTAGAGATGGGCAGCATAATGGCCTTCCTACCGGAGCTGCGGCCTCGATTGCTCATCGTGGTATCCGAGGATGGGCCCTATGCAGGAGAAAAATACGAGGAACTATGCAGAGAATTACAATCTTGCTCACTAAAGCTTGAAAATAACTTTTCAGTGATTCGGATATTTCAGCTTGCAGGTCAATACTTGTCGCCCATGGCACGTCATCAGCGGCTTCAGAGTGAGATTCGAAGCCAGACCCAGCAAATGTGCCATATTAGGCAACACAACCACATGCTATTCTCAGCATTCCATATGGCATCTTTATTTGCGAAAGCAATAAAATGGATCTCTCAAAGCATTTCCGAGGATTTTAACTTCATTACTGCGTCCCGCATCCATAATGAATTGTCTAGCGACCATTTTGAACACCTACAAACGTTCCTTGGGCTAGCCCAACAATATAAAACCGAATACAACAGCGTTGCCTCGCTCATCGCGTCCAGTATCATTATGGATGCATATCCCCCTCGGATGCATCGTAAGTACTGTCGCGCGATCTGAAGTTTACTCTGACCTAGCCAGGTTTTCCTATTCAGCATGTCTTTGACTTCCTCTACCGTGATACATGCCACAAGGCACTAACATTGTCTTACAACAACCTGTTCGCTCGCCATCTATGTGGAGAGATCGAACGGTCTTGTCATCAACACTTTGAGCGTCTCAACAGCGAAGTTATCTCTTCCAGTAGGCTGCACTGGGGAAATATCAGGCGGCTTGATCGCTCCCTTACCCTATACAAGTCCAACACTACTTGTCTATTCTGTTTACGTCGAGTGCCTGAATATCATCTAACCTGTGGTCATTGTGTCTGTTGCGATTGCATTTTGATATTTGGCGTTTTGCATCCTGGAAGGGAAGAGCGATATAGACTCCACTGCATCTACGACGACCGCGGCGAGCTCACGGTGGATCTCAAGCCAAGGACAGCTGGTGTCAGGGTTATTGGAATCGACGGAGGGGGTGCTCGCGGGGCCACATCCCTGGAGTTATTGAAGGAGCTCCAAAAATTGCTTTTGCACTGTCCTCTGCCAGAAATGGTCGATATTGCTGGTGGTAGTAGCTCAGGTGACCCTATCCGCCTTCCATAAGCTTCATTGCTGATACCTATAGGGGGGCTTATTGCCCTAGCACACTTTCATCTACAGTGGCCTGTGGAGAAATGCAGTAAAACCTTTGAATCATTCGCCGTCCGCTCTTTTCAGCGGTCTAAATCTCTATTAGGCACCATAAGGGCGGTGATAAAGTATGCCGTCGCAGATGCGATCTACGACGAGACTGTCATCGAAAGTTTGATGAAGGATGCCTACGGATCTAGTAGCGTTTTTTTCGGCGAAAATCCGCATGCAGTAGCTGGGACTCGGGTCGCTATCACCGCAATGACTCATGGCAGTCAGCGGGTTATTTTCACGAACTACAACGGATCAGCCAGTATCGTCAGGAGAGATTCTGGCTGTCTCCATACTAGTCATTTTCAGGACTCTGGATATATTGCCATCAGACCGAAAGATGTCGCCAAAGAGCCTTTACTCTGGGAGGTGTAAGTGAGGTACATTCATTGCCTGGATGAGACTAATTTTCTTCAGCGCCCGAGCTACATCTGCAGCACCATTGTAAGTCACTCTCTCATTCATATTGACAAGCCTTGCTAAACAGATTAGGTTTTTCAAACCTATTCAAATGAGTATCGGCGAATTTTGGGACGGAGCTCTTGGTTTCCCGAACCCCATAGAGCTGACGACATGGGAAGCATCCAGACTGTGGCCAGGAACCGTTGTGGACGTGTCAATATCATTTGGCACAGGTGAAGAGCCAAAACACTCAAACTCAAAAAACTCACTGTACCGGCTTCTGGACGCCTTTAATCTGCTGCTGGATGGGCAATCAGAATTTTTGAAACGATCTACTTCCGACCAAGCGCTTCTTCGGCTGAACACTCGTTTGCCTCAACCCATCCGCCTTGACGATGCAGGAAGCATTCCAGCCCTAAGAGAATCTGTACACCTCTATCAGCCGGCCAAAGAGAGTATACTGGCAGCTGCAACATCCTTACTTGTCTCAAGCTTTTTTTTCACCATAGCCCGGCCTGCAAAATATGACTCCGGTATTTACTATTGTGAGGGATCCATTCACTGCCGGGGAGACTACTATCAAGTTTCAAGCGCTCTGGCAAAGCTCTATAGCTCACGTATAGAGTTTATTACGAAAACCGAAGTCCTAGCAAGATGTGAGTTGGGACAGGATATCTGCACTGTGTGCCATAGATATCGGCGGGATATAAATTTTACGGTTCGGCATCCCACGGACCTAATCACAATCTATATTCGCCTCGTCAGCGGAGCGATGCACAAGATTAGTGGATTTCCTCAAAGCATCGCCTGGTTTGAGAAGCAACAAGGTTTAGTTAATCACTTTGGGACCTCGGACCACGATCGCCCAGGGGAGATCCGATGTCTTGGTTGTGCGCGGCAGAGTGTCCTGGGGGGCCAGAAGCATAAAGCGAGCACTTCATTTCACCTCCCAGTCGCCAAGCGACCGAGACGCTAAAGCACGTAAGACCAGGAAAGCCTTTACAGATCAGACTTAGAGAGCGTATCCAGGACCAGTGCCGTTCTTCTAGATAGTTGTTAATTGTTTATGCTCCTTCTCACGTTTATTAAATTGCGCTTATGTGACTTTGTAATTTGATAATGCCCCTATAAATATATCAAGAATGAGTATTTTCTAAGCCTTGTCCATCAAGTCTGGAAAATAGGTTGTATCAAGGTACCCAGCCATTCACTGTGATTATTATCTCAGCATGGCAGCGGAGACTGCTTCTAGAAACAGACCGGACCGGGTCTCAAGAGCTGAATCAACTTGCACGAACTTTCCAACCAGCTCTGGCCTCGTCAATCTCGATGAACAACACGGGCCGAGACAAGCATCTACCTGTACAAATTTCCCCACCACGTTTGGCCGTGCGTCTTATAGTGAGTACTCATCAAGTAGATGTTTCATTAGTGCCTAATGTACCTTAGCAGGATCCTCTCAAGATGTTCCTAATGTGATAAACCCTGAACTGGTGACAATCCCAGTTAATAAAACTAGCGAAAAAGCCTCTTTTGTGCTTGGGAATATGGGCATTGAGACGGGTAAAGGGCATGACACAATAGCTCACAAACGACATAGACTAAAGCGACGATTCCCCATTGACGTCAGACCGCCATCCGATGAAAGGGCTCTTGAACCAAAGAAAAGAGGTTCATCTTTGTGGGAAGTTGGTGCCCCATGGGTGAAATACAAGAGATGCATGGGGAACGAGACCGGAAAGACGTGTCTTGCCTACGAGATCAAAGCACCAGGGAATATTGTGGCTATTAAGCCATCTAGCAATACAGGAATCAGCCAGACACGCGAGTTCGTGAGACCATCACACGCAAACATTGTCAGACTTCTGAGCACATTTCTCACTCAAGACACCATCTATTTTATCTACGAACGAATGGATATTACTTTGGA